TTCGATTAGATTTATTGTCCCCAGGGGGAAATTCATTTCCACAGCTCTGTGAAAACAAGATGAAATCGACAAAAAATAAGACAACTACAGATAGCACCACACATGATGCTTACCTGTTATTATTTAGGGCTGCCTGTATGGATCAGGTTTTTGCCAAAGCGAGCCCTTTTACTATAATAATAATATGTTATTATATAAACAGGGGTGCACATAACTTTTTTGCCCTGGTTCTCAAAGGAGCACCTGGAGATGTTGCTTGGTGCTCATCCTTAAAATGAAATAAACCGTAACTTTGGAGGGGGTCTTGACTTTATTTGCCAGACACACGGCACTGAACACACATGCAGAGGTGCACACATAACACACATGCAGAGGTGAACACAAGACAACATTAGCACGAGCAGTAATCCTACAAGCTGTCATGACTACCCTCCTGACTGTTCTCCTCACTGTCTTCCTCTCTGTCAGACATGGTAGCTGATGATGTAGGCCTACTTCTTCCTCTCTGGTTGAGTCTGCGATTAGATGCTTGCATCCACAAGTCAACAGCTGGTTTTGGGTCGAAAGTCTCTGTTGTCATCTTAGACAAGTGGATGTAATCAAATAAGTATGTGAACATAACCAATAACCTACCATAGCCAATAACAAATGAATGTAACTTATTTTATTTGTGTTGTTCATTCATATCTTAACATTTATTTATGCATTTTTTTGTATCTCTCCAGTTTTAAAGGATATTTTTGGTTACTGTCCTATAGTATACATTGGAATGATTTAAAACCTGTTTATCCCAATAATTATAAAGGAGTGCCTTGGAAATATGTGTTTACATAAATTGCGACCAAACCGTTTGAACTTAGACTTTACCTCACTGAGCTGTAGTTATCAGTCTGACTGGAGAGGACTCTCCCTCCACATTATTGTAGAAACATCTTCTTCTTATATCCGTTAGAGCAGCTAGCACCAGATTCTAATAACAACAGCGCTGGTACCGGTGCACCCTCCCTCGCTCACTCGCATTTTGGCTGTGAGCTGCGGGCGCCAGATAAGCCAACATCCCCCATTTTTATCACTTACAACGCCCATCGTACAGGGCAAATGAAACGTGTAACCGGGGTGAAAAGGGTGTTACATTTATTTAATTATGAATATTGTTACATCAAGGCCGAAAATTAGGATGAGCCCCAACGGTCAAAATGTTTTTTTCCCTCCCAGAACTGCCAGCGCAGCGCCTCCACAGATCTGGCGCCCTAGGCGAACATCTAGCCAGTGCTACGGCCGACCCTGAGTTTATATCATGGTTCATACATGTATGCAACTCGCAAATATCTTTCTCTCTCTCTTCTCTCTCTCTCATCTCTCCTCTATTTTCTCTTCTCCCTCTCCCTCTCTCAATGTTGGTACGCAAATGCGTTTTGTTTCAAATGACCCGGTGCTCTTTTTTTGGCGGAGGTGCGCATGCGCACCTGCGCACCAGTTATGTGCAGCCCTGTATATAAACCATATTAGTACAATGAGCGACATCTAGTGACGGATTTTTTTATCTGTGTCTGTCCATTTGGTGTAGAATTTGATCCTATATTACATTTGGTTTATATATTAGTCACTTTCTTATGGAATGCCAGGTTTTAGGTCTTGGTTTGAACATTCAATCCTGAAAATAAAAAATCAACCAGATACATTTTTCTTTAATCCAGACATGACTAGAGTAGATAGTAAGTAAGTAAATCTGTATAGGAAGACGAGTTAAGGGATAGAGGAGAAAAGGTTATGGTATAATTACAGAGCCTGTCCATTTATAAATTGAGGAAATCAATGTTAGTCTGTTAACGTGACTAACGAAGTTAAAGATCAGAGGAAAATAACAGAATGAGAGGGTCAATCCGGAATACAAATAAAGAAGCAAAGAGATTGTAGAGCAGTGAGAATGAAAAAAACTTGGTGTGTCAATTCATTACATTGCCAGTATTTTTCGTTGTTGTGAGAAAAAATCGCCCCCTCGGATTTTTGAACAGCCCCCTCAGTCATTTCATCCTGGAGCCGGGCCTGGAAAGACTTCATGTGTTTCGCAAGAACGTGACTGACACGATAAGATGCTATGGTAGCAGCCTTGCTCTTGTTGTTGGGCCTGGTGAAAATGGACTGCTGTGCATTTAGCTGTCCTTTCAGGCCCCTCCCCTTTTGGGAGCGTAGGGCAGAATTAGGAGGGAATTCTGTCTCGTAGCGTTTGTGCACTGTTTTGAAATGCCGCTCCTAAATGACCCTTCTTCGATAAAGCCACGCTCGCATTGCAGATGAGACAGATGGACTTTGAATTGGAATAGATACACAAATAATGATCCTCCCACTCGGAGTGAAAATTATATATTTTGGGCTTTTTTGCTTCTGCCATAATTGCGGTCTTGTGTGTGTGCGGACTGTCACTCCTGTTGACACGGACAACGTCAGCGAAATAGTGCCCACTGCCCACTGCTTTGTTTCATATCTGTGGTATCAAACCTCTTGGACAAAAATAAATAAATAAAATTGCTGTATATTGAAAAACTATCCATTGAAAAATATCAAGAACTATTTTAAAATGTGTACTGTTGAGACATTTCTGACATTGGTTTGTTAATGATTTTATTTGTTTTTCTGGTAATTACTGACCCACAATGCAATGCCACGTTCAGGTAATGCTTGTGTATACAGCACGTGGAATTCTGTATAATTCACAATAATATTAGCCACCTTTTGTAACCGGCTATATTTATTCTAAACCTGCCTGGAATTAATTCATTTAGTTTCCTTTTATTTCACTGTGGTATGAAGTGGTATAATAAAACGTGGAAGTTGTTTGAGATGTGTATGTTTTCCTACATAGGGAAAATTATGTTATTTTAAGAGCTAAACTACATTATTTGCATTTGGCAATTTAGTGCAAGCAGGGACTTGTTGAAAAGTGAAGCTGAGAATTAAACCCTAACAGGGAAGTTTTGTAAGTGGCACCTGAAAGCAATTGTACCACATGAATATATGGCAACTGTGACCAAATAATAGGCAACCAAAATATTTGTATGTCCGGGAAAAAACTATTAGTAAGTAAACATGCACAGAAGGCAATTAAGCTTCCCAAAAATAAATAGTAAATGTAGTAGACATTTCAGCCAAACCTGCAAACTGCAGACAAGTGCACACAACTATTCCTGACTCAATCTTTTCTGCTGTGTTTTGTCTGAGACAGTTATCAGCAGATACCTCACACACAGTAGTCATGTTGGGAAATGTTCGGCTATCACTGACTAAAGCAGAAATAGATGAGGTGTGAGGTGGAAGTGGCTGAGGTGAGATATTAAAAGCCTTTTGTCACACAAACCAAAGATATCAAAATGAGTAGGAGTTTCCCCAGTAAATTACTCTGTCATTTTTGCAACATGAAACCATTTTCAGCAGCTCACCTTTTCCCAGATGAGAGTGGTGCCTTTTTTGAGGACGACAGGTTCAGTGTTGTAGTTGATATTAAACTCAGAGAACAGGATCTCATTTTTGTCTGCAGCTAGTGTTCCCTGGGGGGAGAAACAACAAAGTTCAATTTATATTACAAAACGTTATTTATGCAGGACAAAAATCAGCTGATTCGTCAGGCCTCACTGGAATCTTATCATCCACACCTCCCACAACTGGTTCTATTTTTGCTTTGTTTTGTTTTTTAGTAGTAACCAGAAACATGGCGGTTTGATGGATTGTGAATGACTCATTCATCCAGAATAAACACTTTCCACAACCCGTCAGCTGTCATCACTTTGTGTGAGTTACAGACTACCAGAGAATAAAGTGACTTCCAGAGAACAGCTGTTTCAGTCAGAGGCATTGTTACGTGCCAGGCAGGCTGTACTGGTGTGGTTTTCCTTCCCTCCTGTGTTTCTCTCTTCTCCCTGTCTTCTGCACAGCTAATCAGCAGCTGATCGGTAGCTGCCTGTGCACCTGAGTCTGATGGCTGATTGGATCCTCTCACCCTCAGCTGGCCTATCAGCAGCCAGGGCCGACCATAAAGGAGGCACCCAGGAAGTCTTCTCGCTCTCTCACTCTGGGCCTGTTGCTGATGAAGGAGCCTGCAGTATTTAGCCACTAAATTTCTTTGTATTGTCTGACCTTATTGAAAGTGTGTTGAGAGGTGGAGGAGTTAGGTAAGTCTGGGGTACCCTGTACATTTCTCACCACGTAGCTAACTAATGTTTAGACACACTAGGTTAGCGGATTGTTGCCACCCCTGTATATTGTTTTGTCAAAGTCTTTGTAGTTTAGTTAGTGAGGGTTTTTGTTTGAGTTTTGGTTTCAAAGGATAGATGTAGAGATAGGCCTGGTTTTGTTATGCTTGTTTCTTTTGTTTGGCGCAATCCTTTGACTCCTCCTCCTCCTCACCAACTAAGGGTTCAGTTACATGTCTGTTCGGTTCTGGGTTAAGAAAATAAACCTTTTGTAAACTGTTACGCTGACTCCCTCATTAATTATTGGTTGTATGTTATTGTCTCCAGGTCCCCTAGACCTTAGTGGGGACGTAACAAGTGGGGGCTCGTCCGGGATATCTATTTTCCTGAGCTAAAAACAACCAATAATTGAGAAGTCATTGTAGGTGTTGTGCATAGGCTGAAAAATGGGGTTTGACTTACAGGACTTTATTGAAAGTCCAAGTGTTGATACGTTGTATTCCTGTCGCAAAGATGACATGTTATGTATTGCAGCTCACTTTAACATTTCAGTAGACAAGTATCAAGTAAAAAAAGAGATAAGAGAGAAAATCCGCTAACCTAGCGGAAAATCCGCTAACCTAGCGGATATTCATCTCCAACCAGAATAAACCAGCAGTAAATAAGCTGGTCACCATGTGAAAAATCGGCTAATGAAAAGCACACAAAAGCTACACAAGCAAGGATCATATCTTCTTTACCCATTAATAAAGTAATATAAAATAAAGTTTACAGAAGAACTTTCAAACAGAAAATAGTACATACGGAGACATTTTTGTCGAAATATTCACACAATAACTATACTTCTCATAATCAATTTATCCTATGATATTTCTATTTTTCATTAATTGTCTCCATTTGGACAGACAAGGTGAGAAATATTAAGTTATTTAATATCAGACTCTAAAATAATGTCTTCAACTTGATCAATTTGTTTTTGTTTGTATCATCGAATGTCATTCAATTTAGAATGATGTGAAACAGATAACAACATTGTCAAACTTAATAATTCATAATCGCTGAACCAGAAAATGTTTGGCCTGTTTATTAGTTAAAGGCCGTATTCTTTAACTTTAATTTAATAATTTCCTGTTTATTGACTAATCAGCAAATTATTTCACCAACAATACATACAAAAATGTCCTCATAAGGCTGTCTTGGAAATGGCTTGCAATTAAAAGCACAGTCCACACAGTAAATGTTGTGCACATTCAGAAAAGTAGAACCAAAATTGAGACAGTGTAATTTCTTAGTTAATGTTAACTCTAAATGTGCAGGTGTTTTCTCCTTATTATTGTTTTTCATATTTTGAAGGTCTTGCTGTTCATATAAAGTTATTAATAGAAATGTAAAAGGAAAAAACCTTTGAAATATTATACAAAACAGCATATTTGTAAAAAGACAGCAAATATTCCTAAACACACAAACATATTTTTGTTCATTTATGATTTTGTGACGCTCTCACCTTTAAGCGTTCCTCTGCCTGGGCTGTGGTGAGTCCTCCCTTTTGTACCAAAGTCCAAAACACCGTGTTGTACAAATTATTCACATGACCTGAAAGACAGAACACACACAGTCTGGTATCCTCATCGGTTTAACACAAGAAAATCAGTGACTTTGTAAAACAGTTATGGCACAGTGTGCACTTACAATCTGCTTGCCTCCAGCTGAGGTAGTCTTTGAGGTTGCGGTTGCTAGGATAAAGGACCACACGTCCATCAAAGCTGGGGGGGTACAAGAGGGGGAGGTCCTCCCCAAAAAACTCCTTCCAGTAAAACACATATGAGGATGAGAACTGGGAGGCCACATGTGTCATAAGCTTACTGCAGGAAGAGAAAGATGGAGGAATGAAGTCAGAGAGAGGAAAGCATGTGGGGAAATCAGATACATTCACAGTGCTGCAAAACTGTACCTGGCTCTCCTCTTAAACCAGGTTGAAGTCCTCTTGAAAACAAAGCTGAACTCATCACTTTGACCATAAGCGATGACAATATCCTCTAACTCTTCCATGACAGAGCGTGCACTCCGGCTCATCAGGCCCAAAGCCCTGTTGTCGTTGGGCTTTGCAAATTTGTGCTGATCTGTAAACCTGAAACAAAAAAGAAGAAACTCAAAACAAGAGAAGGATCCATCATGCTATTTATGTCTTCACAGAGATGACAGTAGGTTTGACTTGAAGAGGAAACTCACTTGTGAAAGTTGCGACCATCCAATCTCACAACAATGTAGCAATTCCGTAGACAAGTGTCATCTGTTTCAAAGTTGCGGACGTACTCAAACTTGCTCTTGGCCATGTTGCTGGAAGTCGTAAAAAGACAGGCCAAGGGTTTGACAACACAATACCTGGCACGTCCACCTAATATGCAGGCCTTTCCAAACAGCATTGAGGGGTTCCTGAAAATCAAAAGCAAATATGAAGCTGACACAATTACAGCATGAATGGAGTGAATTTTACACTCCACAAATGGTCACTTCTATGGGTGGGTGTATCATTGTCCAAATATCTGCTGTTGTGTTTGCAGTGATGCCCTTTTTATAAAAAAAAGTCACATTTGTCAATTTGTAATTGAATAATAGTCTTGTGTTGAGTTACAACCATTGAATAGTAAAAGTCAAAAATGCATTATTGTTGTCAAATGGTTATGATGTTATTGAAATATAATATATATTCCAAAGTTAGCAATTCAAAATGCATTCACCTCATACATGTAGACATGTCTCTCCTATGAACATAGTTTCGGTTTAACCTTTACACAAATTATTTTTATTATTTCAATATAAAAGGCTATCCACCTAATTATAGAATAATTATTAAAGAGACATGTTCGTTTGTCTTGCTATAACATTATTTATTACTTACACTTGGAGGTGATGTGTTGTTAGCCAACGTACAGTGACCAGTAGGTTAGTTACTTAAACCCGTTGTCTTCATGCGTTAATATCTATATATTCCGTTAGTTACACAAACACCAATATTTGATTTAGTAGGATAAACAGTAATGCAATAAACTGATATCTACATTTATCCTGAGAGTAAGTCCGCTAACACACGCTGGGTTGTATACAGTCCGTCAACGAATGATGTCGTAGTGGAGCCGGAGACAGTACACACTAAGGTTCCGGAGCGGACATACATAAACAAATAATTCATTAATCACAAATATCATATTGCTCTCAGACACTTCTTGTTCACACTATCAACGAACATCGTCAATTACCAATTTGTTATGTTGATACTGCTAAAATAATCAAAGCAGATTTACAAGCTACCAAAACATAACCTGTATTTTGGCGCCATCGTGTGGTTAGGTGAGGGGAAGGGCAACCAAAGATCGTGTATAAGGGGTTACGGAAATACGTATTGCGGAACTCGTAGTCCAGACGTACTGTTTTCTGAGGGTTGAATTATTTATTTAATGATTGTTTTATGATTTGAAATAGGTAATCACTATCAGAATATCACAGGAAAAAATTGTAACACCACACAAAAATAAGGCTTCCGTGATTGAAATTCGCCACCACTCTTGAAATAGGTGCAGAGTGAGAGCTCATTCTCAACCTACGTCAGTCACTTTCCCAGGGTTCTTCGGTTCTTCGCTGCACTGTGTGTGTGCGCGCCCATCTGCGTTTCAAACATGGAGGAGAGGGAAAGACACAGCAACGAATCGGTTACTGCAACCTGTTCGAGTACACCATCAGCTCCGGAGCGTTGCGGTAAAGCTGCGGGCAGTGGCGCAGATAAAACAGATGTCTGCTCGGATAACTTCGACCCTCTCTTGGCCTTGTACTCTCCCACTGTGTCGCTTCCTTTTCCAAATATCAAAAGCTTTAACAATGTGGCGGCTTACGAGAGCTTTCTAAAGGGCGGTCGGGGCAGAGCCAAGCCGGAGAATGTGGAGAAGAAGCGGCAGAAGGCCATGAAAGGGGTGGCGGACCCGGAGCGCATCGAGAGGCTGAAGAAGCTCATGGTGAACAACCCGGTGACTCCGGAGGGGGAGAGCAGCGCACCGCGGAGAAGGAGGCACAAGCCGGTGAAAAATGTCCTCACAAGGATGCCCTGTAGGTTCAATAAGACCTTCTATTACATCACTGCATACATTGAGACTTGTTGGGAGTTCCTTATTCAATGTCAACAAGTGGGATGCTATCATGTTGACTTTTAGGATAGGCCCGCTTGCCATCACTTGGAAGTTGCAACAACTCCACATACAGGCCGCTAAAAACCTTTCAAACATAAGCTTTAAATAAGTTGTTACTCCATAGTATTTTCATTTATAGAAGGAGATTGTCCTGCTCTTCTTATGGATAAACATTCATTTCAAACTTGTTGTACTTTTCTCACAGTCCTGTAGTGTTTAACTGACTTATACCTTATGAACTTAGAATAATAAAATACATAGGAACACAATACCATTTTTGTTTTTATAAGGGCTGCAGCAAACGTTTAAAATGTATATAATGTATATATTTACGATTCGCCTTTTTTTTGTACACATGTAAATGGATAAATATGACAAACCAATGTCAACTCACCATTACCACTTTTCAGAGCCAAGATAATTGCTATTTTTTCCAGCAAACATTAAAAATTCAAAGATATTTGTTATATAATGCTAATAATCTGAATACATATATTGAACTTTATATCTCAGAAACTGAAACCATACAATATTTGTACATCAACCAATTGAAAAGTGAAAAATCCAGTAGAACCCAGCATTGTTGGCCTTTTTTGCAGAAGCTTGTTGTGATACCTTCTAACTGTTTGTTTGTGTTACTCCTTTGTCATGTGTGTTCAGTGTGTAAAGGCAGTCCATTGGGGGAGCTGTACCGATGCGTGGAGGAGAAGATCAGGGTCAGAGTTCACATCAGGACCTTCAAGGGGCTGAGGGGAGTCTGCTCGGGCTTTGTTGTGGCCTTCGACAAGTTCTGGAACATGGTGAGCGCTCATTCATTATTTAACAGCTGCCATATGCTGAACAAATAATCCACATCTTACTTGAAACCATGAAGTTTGTGTCTTTTTATACTGAATGTTTACTATCTGTTTTTATCCTCTTTGTCAGGCCATGGTGGATGTCGATGAGACATACCGAGAGCCTCTGCTTGGAGAGGCATTTTACCATGAGAAGGCCCTCACCATTTCCCGGGTAGGCATTATTCTTCAATCTGACAGAAATATATTTGCACTCTGTAATAGTAAAAGCTACAATCAGTTATGTTTGTTTTAATAAAGAAGTCAGTGATAAAGAATTGTAACTGCAAGCTGACTTTAATGTCAGTAGTTTTACGATGTCGTTTTTTTCAAATGCCCCGAGTTTCCTTTGACTACTTTGAGAACTAGCAGCAATTAGAAATGTGATGTATTTTGTCATGTGCCATTATATTGAAAGCACTGTAATTGTTCAAAATAGAGTGCCTTAGCTTGTTGTAATTTTTGCATTTAAATGTATCCAAAAAGCCCCTAAAATAAAACTGATTTTAAGTCCAGGAGGTGCTCCTCCCAAACCCTAATTTATTTATGTGACAAACATCTGTGTGCAGCTCTTTGAGAAGCTGAGGCTCCAGGAGAGTCCAGGAGATGATGAGCCAGCAAAGAAGCACGAAGCCCAGGAAACAGCCAGCAAGCATCAGCCTGCAGACCCAAAAAGTGCTCCAAAACCCCCGTCTGCTGCTCAGCCTAGCAGCCGGAGACAGGACAGCAGGACGGAGTCCAAACTGTCAACCGCTGTTAGAATCAGAACGGATAAACACAAAGTCTCGCCGAAGGCCCAGGGGCCAGAGGTCTGCCAGAAGAAAGTCTCCCAGAAGTATGGCAAGGTGCACACACGCCACATCAACCAGCTCTTCATCCGGGGGGAGAGCGTCCTCCTGGTCAACCCCCAGCCGCTCTGATTATTCAGTTTGATGTAACCCCTGGATACAAAGACTACAACCACAATCAATGAAAGTTTTATTTTACGCTGCACATCTGTAATGATGGGTGTGAAAGATGAACTGCCAGAGATGTAATTAGATTCTGAGGAATCAAAAGAGGACGTTTGTTATATCATATTGATATGGAGCTGGTTCTCTGCCCACCAGAGAAGTCATTTTGATTTTGAGGAATAAAAGCTTCTTAGTTCTAATTATAGTCTTTTTCCTTTTGTCTGACAGTCACTAAAGGAAATGTATTTGACACCGTTATGGCACAGCATAAACAGCGGTGTTATGGTTATTACCCAGCAGGTGGCAGCATAAACACATTAGTGCCATCTGTGAGGCCATTGTCATCGGAAAGAGCTTGTCCCTTTATGTTGCTTTTCCCGTTAGTTTGAACAGGAATGACAGCGCAGTCTCAGCGGACTTCATAAATGCATTATGAATAATTGAGTTTGTGAAGCTAGAGATTGCAGATGGCACTCAAAAGCTGTCATTTGTCTTGACGTCTCAGATTGCTTTTACTCTTTAATGGGCACATTACCCATAAAAGCACAATTTACTGCATCTTGTGGAAGTTGTAAAGATGTCGCGTTTTTTCTTATTTTTAAATGGCAGAGGTTACTTTTGGATGATGAGTTGCCCCGCATGATTGCATGTTGCTGTATTTCTAGCTCTGCCTTATTCTAGATTGTTCTAATTTGACTGCAGAGTTTAATTGACCCTCTTTCTATATATTTGTATGCCCTAAATAGGAAAAATGGTATGAGCAGTTGAGCTGTTTTCATCTATATGCTGTTACTTTTCATATGTATATATATTATTAGTGTAGCCCATTTAACAGTCTTCCTCTCCAGAGAGTGAAAACGGGGTCAATTGTTTAATGCAAGCTGTGTTTTAGTCGTGTTTGTCACACTAGTGTGTTGATGAAATATGAGAAGGGCACTGTGGTGAAGAGATGAGCCACAATTAGACTCCACAATCTTCTCTTGAGTGTATTATATCACCAGAGTAATCAGGCCATCCATCCCATAGGGCAAACTGTAAATATCAGTTGATATATATTGGGTATTGAAGGACACAAAGTATACATTCTTAAAGTATAACACCAACTTCCTTTATAGAATCTTTCATAGAATGCTACTAAGCTTAAATTAAGCAAGGGTTGAGATTTTAAAAACACGTTTTGCCTTTAAACACAACAATGATCATCCTCCTTACTCTGAACATTAAAGGGCCCCTATTATGGTGTTGGGGGTTTTCCTCCCCTGTAGTGTGTGTGTATATATATATATATATATATATATATATATATATATATATATATATATATATATAAGTTAGCAAAGGCTAAAATCCAAAGTTTCTCTCCTACACACTCCTCCATTGGACTCCTTTGTTTACTTCAATAACATAGTGACATTACTAACATCTATTGGCTAACGCTCCAACAAATTGTAGGTGATAGGCTAAGGGGCGGGACATATCTACGCGGTTGACCAATCACACATGACATAGCCAGCTAACCAATCAGAGCAGACTGGGCTCTGGTTTCAGACAGAGGGTGAAAAGAGGTGCTGCAGCAGTGTGAAGAGCTTTTTGAACATTAAATCATGTAATTTCAACATGTCACAGCAGAGGCACAACCATAGACTATATATACACACATGAACCTGCAAATTAGCACAAGGCCCCTTTAAGTCTTAGAAGTATGTTTTGTTATAACCTATGGATTTTGTATCCAGCATACTTACATTTCAGCAGATTTGCTTGTATTGTACGCTTTTTTATTCTTCTTTGCCCTATTAATTTGTAAATGTGCATATTTATCAAAGACTTTCCGTGACTACCTCAGTCAATGAGGTTAACAAACTGGCATGAACTAAATGTAATTTCACATCTGCTGCTTGAAGCTCTTTTGAATGAGGCTAATGACACAGCACACCAAATAACACACGCCATTAACACATTTCAATCAACTGTTTAATGTTGTAGATAAAGAATCGATGTGTAAATCAAAATGGGAATAATGCAAAAATTCATTTTCTCAAAGGATTTTCTTTTCTTACATTTGCATATGCTAGTGTTTCAGTAACAATCCCATATTAGAGAAGATCAAAAAAAACAATTTGAAGTAGAAAAAAAAAAAAAATGAATAAAACAACTGCTACTTATATTTTAGAAAAAACAGCAAACAGATTTTGGTCATTTTTTGATGTTTCAGACTCCGACGCAAGGCTACTATGTG